AAGGGGAGGGGGGGGCTTTAGCCCCCCCCCTTGGACAGGGGGGGGGCGGTTCGACCCCCCCCCCCTGTTGGAAGACGCACACACACACACACACACACACACACACACACCGTTAGAGAGGTTGGCGTCCAGGGGGTGGGTCCGTTTCTCTGAGCACTTGAAATGTTTTAGGGCCCCACCCTCGTTCCGATGTGCCCACGGACTTCTGTCCGAGCAAGTGTCTATGACACGCGCTCTTGCCTCCATCAGGAGCTCCACCGACGGCTCCAGCGGCGGTGTTCGCATGAGCTCCCGCGTCTCATCTGGCAGACCCATCCCACGCTTCGTGGCTCCAGAGGGAGCCCCACCGAAGGCTCATCGGCGGTCTTCGTGTGCGCTCCCGTCTTTTCATGCTGGCACACCCTTCGCACGCTTCGTGGCTCCAGTGGCAGTGCTCGTGTGCGTTGCCGAATTTTCATGGCGGCAAGCCCTTCTTCGCATGTTTCGTGGGTCAGGAGCTCCACCGAAGGCTCAAGTGGCGGTGACTGCAGTAGTTCCCGCCACTCTTGCCGGCGCACCCCTCACACCATTCGTGGTCCTTCAGGGAGCCCCACCGAAGGCTCCAGTGGCGGCGGCCGCATTGGCTCCCGCCTTCATTTTGGCAGACCCTTCACACGGTTCGTTGCCCCATAGGGAGCTCCGCCGAAGGCTTCAGTCGCCGTGACAGCACGAGTTCCCTCCCATTCGGCACCCCACTCACACTCTTCGTGGCCCCATAGGGAGCTCCTTCGAATGTTCCACTGGCGGTGTTCGCTGGCGTTCCCAAACTTCACCTCGGCACACCGCTCACACGTTTCGTGGCACAGTAAGGGGCTCCACCGAAGGCTCTAGTGGCTGTGACCGCATTGGCATTGGTTCCCGCTCTTGATCTTGGTTGACCCCTCACGCGCTTCGTGGCCCATACGGTGCTCCACCGAAGGCTCCACTGTCGGTGACCGCACGCGCTCCCGCCTTTGATTTCGGCGCACCCCTCACATGCTTCCTGGCCCCATAGGGAACTGCACCAACGCCTCCAGTGGCAGGGTTCGCAGGGCGACCACCTTGGCATTTCGGCGCACCCCTCACGCGCTTCGTGGTTCCATGGGGAACTTCACCGAAGGCTCCATAAGCGACCCCCATGCCTCTCAATACTAGGTTTCAGCAAACAGTTTCGTTGATCGAGTGTGCCCGCCCTGCATGGAGCCCCTGATCCGCCCGCCTTCAAGTGTCCACGCTGCACTGTGCTCGGTCATTTCCATGGCGCGCTGCCCACGGGAAGGTGTCCGCCCCCGAGGCCATTCGCAGCTCGCCCGTCCCCTCATTCATTTTGCCAGCCTTGCGAGGCTCGCAAGTGCACATGGTTGGGTCCCTCGCCAGGATACTTGTCAACATGTTGGCCTGAATGTTTCCATGGGGAGTGATCGCACGGGCGCAGGGCGACCCCTTTCTAATACGCCTTGTTGCGTTGTGTGCAACCCTCTTGAATTAGACTGCCCCATCTTGTCGCACCGATTCCTTCTCATCTGAAGGCTGTCTGGCAGCCCCTTTTCAAACGGGAGCCCCCGCCAGAATTGCATGCCAACAGGGGCGGTCGTCTCGCCGGGGGGCGCCTGGCGCGGGTAAGCCAGGATGCCTGCCTGGACTTGTGAGGAGGGAACTTGCGCATTGGAGGGTGCATAGTAGCATGGTTGATACATATGGGGTCTACTCTGGTCCTCCTATCGTCACCCTCCTTCTCCTCTCTGTCGTCCTCATCCTCCCCCTCCTCCCCGTCTCTTATTCGTCGTCCTCTTCTTCTTTGTTCTCCTCTTTGTAGCCCTCGTCGTAGTCTTCTGGTTTTTCGTTTTCCTATTTTGATGAATGTTATTGTGTTTATTAGTGTTCGTCTCATGTGCATTCTTATTAATGTTGCGATGATTGGTCTTACTTTCATGTTTGTAGTTAATATTATCATTCTCCTTCTTAATCCGATTTTTCTTATTGTTGTTGGTACTGGTATGACTCACCCTCTTATTATTATTCCTCTTCCACATCCTCCCTCCTCATCCCCCTCTCCTGCGGAGGCAAAACGTTGGAGGCTGACTTCAGCATCGGCGCTGGTATGATGGAAAGCGCTCGTAGCGTCGCGACCCGCTAGTCAGGAGAGACAGCACGGTGGAGCGCGAGGGGGTCGGCTTCGGCGGCGCCGTATGATGACATGCGCGCGTAGCGGCGCGATCTGTTGGCCGATACATCACGAGGGTGAGTCTGAGGTGGTTGGCCTCGGCGGCCCCAGATGACGGAAAGCGCGCGTGGCGTCGCGATCCAGCAGCCGGGGAAATATCAAGGGGGAGCGTGAGAGGGTTGGGTTTCGGCGGCCCCACGTGGCGGAAAGCCCGCGTGGCGTTGCGATCCGTTCGTTGGGAGAAATGTTGGCAGGTCCCGTCCCAGATCGAATCGCCCTAGTTTTCGGCCCTGGACGGCCCAAGGCAGCCCCAAGAGCGCCCAAGACGGCCCAGAGGCTCCCAAGGCGGCTGCAGACACTGCTAGGATGGCCCAGGGAGGCCCAGGAGGACCCCAAGACGGTCCAAGAGCGCTCAAAGACGGTGGTCTCAAGATGGCCCAGGCGGCCCTTCAGGCGCTCCAAGAGGCCCTCAGGAAGACCCCCAAGAGGCACACATCCTCCCCTTTTCGTAGACGAAGCCCACATCTTTGGCACACCCGCTTTCTTCGCCGAAGGCGGCCCAAGAGGCCCCCCACGACGGCTCCAAGAGTGCCACAGAGGCCCCCACGAAGGCCCAAATAAGGGCTCCTTAAGGCACTCCGGCAGAGCCCCACGGCGGCCCCAGAGAGGCGCGGGAGGGGCCCAGGTGGCCCCCAACGGCGACCAGTGGCGCAATAAGCTCTGAACAACAGGGCTCCCCAGAGCGCGGTGACGTACAATTTTCTGAACAGCAAGGCGCCCAAGAGCGAGCGGCCACGTAAAAGTCTCGGAACACCAAGGCTCCCAAGAACGAGCGGTGACGCAACCAGCTCTTACCACCAAGGCTCCCAAGAGCGAAGGGTGCCATGAGCCCTCTCGGGCAGGTTGCTGCGGCGCTCTCTCCGCTTCCGTGCAGGCCCAGGTGACGGGAAGAGCGAGGTACGAGCGAGTGGCGTTGAGCAGGGGCGAAGCCCTCCTTCGGGCGGGTGCAGGGGGGGGGGAGGCGCGGGGGGAGCGTTGGCAATGGCCCGTTTCCCTGTTTTTTGTTTCTCGAGTGAAGCGGCTCCCGGGCGGCTCCCACGGCCCGTTTCTTAGTATTTTTCTGGTGAAGCGGCCCAAGGGCCCCAAGACGGCCCAAGAGGGCCCCAAGACGGCCCCAGGAGAGCTTCAGACGGCCGCTAGACGGTCCAAGAGAGTCTCGAGACGGCCCTGGAGGCCCTCAAGAGGCCCCCCTGAGAGGGCCTCCAGAGGCCAAAAACCTTGATGCCCACAGGTTTTCTGCATGTGTTTGGGTTCTCCCATTGTCCGTCCCAGAAGGGCCCCAGACGGCTCAAGAGGCCCCAAAGATCGTCTCAAGACGGCCCCAGAGGCGCCCCAAAGGGGGCCCAAACGATCTAAGAGGCCCTCAGACGGGCCCAAGACGGCCCCAGAGGCCCCAAAGATCGACCCAAGACGGCCCCAGAGGCGCCCCAAAGGGGCCCCAAACGATCTCAGAGGGCCCTCAGACGGGCCCAAGACGGCCCCAGAGGCCCCAAAGATCGTCTCAAGACGGCCCCAGAGGCGCCCCAAAGGGTCCCTAAACGGCCCCCAGGCGGCCCAAGAGGGCCCCAATACAGCCAAGAGGGCCCCCAGGGCCCTAAGAGAGCTCAAGAGGGGGACCCAATAGGCTCCCAAGCGGGCCCGGAGGAGGAGGAGGAGGGGGGGAAGCAGGAGGAGGAGGAGGAGGAGGAGGAGGAGGAGGAGAAGGAGGAGACGTAAGAAGCTCTTCACACCCAGGCTCCCAAGCGCGAAGGTGATGTAAAAAGCTCGTCACACCAAGGCTTCCAAGAGCGAGCGTCAACGTAAGCATCTCTGAACACCAGGGCTCCCAACAGAGAGTGGTGACGTAACAAGCTCTTCCCACCCAGGCTCCCAAGAGCGAACGGTGGCGTGACAAACTCGTGCACACCAAGGCTCCCAAGAGCGAACGGTGACGTACACAACTCTCAACACCAAGGTTTCCAAGAGCGAGCGGCAACGTAAAAGTCTCGGAACACCAAGGCTCCCAAGAACGAGCGGTGACGCAACCAGCTCTTACCACCAAGGCTCCCAAGAGCGAAGGGTGCCATGAGCCCTCTCGGGCAGGTTGCTGAAGCGCTCTTTCCGTTTCCGTGCCGGTCCAGGTCAAATGGCCCAAATTTGGGCCATGTTCGGCCCAAGTCGGCCCCAAGAACGCACCAGAGGCCCCCAAGACGGCCCAAGAGGCCCCCATGACGGCTCCATCACGGCCTCAGGCAGGCCCAAGAGGACCCCAAGGCGGCCTACGAGCTTTCAAAGCGAGCCCAAGACGGCCTCAAGACGGCCAGAGAGGCCCTCAAGTCGCTCCAAGAGGCTCCCAAAAAGGATTTCCAAATTGCAAGCACCGTGAATGATTGGCACATCCGCTTCTTTGATCTGAACACCGCCCGAGAGGGCCCGAAAGGTCCCCAAGACCGCCGTAATGCGGCCCAAGAGGTCCCCCCACGAGCTCCGTAGCCACTTTTGCTCAGGCTCTTGTCGGTTCAGCTCTGCGCCGCCGTGCGCGCCCGCGAGCACCCCGACGGCGGGGGTCGGCCTACAGATGCGCGCTTGGGCGACCGGGCGCGCGAACCACGAAGCCCACGCTGGGAAGGCCGGGGCGGAGGCCGAGGCGGGTTCGGATGCATCTCTTGGGAGGTCCGCTTCTGATTTTGCCATGGTCCGAAATCTGGCTCCATCCGGCTTCATCCCCTTCAATCCGGCCCAGTCCCGCGGAATCCCGCTTATGGTCCGGCCGAATCCCGCTCAGTCCAAGGCCAACGCCGGTACGGGACGTGAAAACGACCACAGCCACTGCTTTTCTTTTGTTGTCGCCTTCCAGCCAGCAGAAACAAAGCAGTGGTGGTGGTCATACTCGTTAAGCTTGGCACCAGGGAAATGACCACAACCACTGCCTCTTCTTCCGCCGGCTGGAAGGCGGCGCAAGCAAGAAGCAGTGGTTGTGGTCATCATCTTCCCGTCCCGCATCCGGCGCAGCAGCCCCCCACTGGGGCCTATAATCCTCCTCGATCTTTCCGGCGAAGACCTCCCGGTAGCTGCCTCCTACAGGCAGAGGCGGGCGACGCGCCGCCCGGCCCTGGCGCGCTGCCCCGCCTCGCCGCGGCCGCCGAGCCCGACGGCCGCGGGCCCCGGCGGGGCGCGCCAGAGCTCCGCCCGTCGCTCGACAGCGCCGCGTCGACGGGTCTGCCAGAGTCCCCCTCCATGATGGGCGAGTTTTCCACCACCGCTGCCATAGGCAGGAGGGGGAGGAGGAGGAGGAGGAGGAGGAGGAGGAGGAGGAGGAGGAGGAGGAGGAGGAGGAGGAGGAGGGAGGAGAGGAGGAGGAGGAGGAGGAGGAGAGGAGAGGAGGAGGAGGAGGAGGAGGAGGAGGAGCAGGAGGAGGAGGAGGAGGAGGAGGAGGAGGAGGAGGAGGAGGAGGAGCAGAAGCAGGATGGACCTCCCGATCCTCCCTGCTCCCCCGTCCTGCCCGTGGCAGCGGTGGTGGACAGCGGGCCCATCACTCCAGCACTGCTCCGTCGGCGAAGGCGCTCCACACTCACGAGGTCTCTCCGACCACGTCGCCGAGGCTGCCGCCAGGCCTCCCGCATCAGTGCGGCAGCCCCTCCGGCCTCCGCGGGGCGCTCGCGGGGGCGGGCCGCCGCGCGGGCGGCCTGGCGGCCGGGCCCGCGCGGCGCAAGGCGGACAGCATGCCGCACTTGCGCGGCGGCCCTGCGGGGAGAGGCGTGATGACGTTCGAGATCCTGCACCTCAGGGAGAAGGTGGCCTCGATCTACGAGCCGACGGATTCGTGCGACCTGCGCCGCCGGGGCTCCAAGACCCTGCTCCTCCCCTCCGAGGCGCCCGGTGCGCACACGGGCGCGTCTCCCGACTGCTTGTCCCCCAAGCGCAGGGCCCGGAGCATGATGATCTGTGGGGCGACGGGGGGCTGCCGGGCGTGCGGGTCCCAGCAGAGGCGCGTGGGGTTCTCACCTCCTCTGCTTAACAGCGCCCACGAAGTGACGCCGTACGCAAGCCAGTACGGCGTGCACCCGAGCTTCTTCGATTTCGACAGGGGCGGCGAGATGAGGCTGACCGACTTGGGCATCGCCGAGAATATGCGGCGCAAGGAGCAGGGCTTGGATCCACTGATGCTAGACGGGAAAGAAGTGATTTGAGGGGTTCCCTCACGAGTTAAGTCTTAAGTCGGGCGTGTCCCTCTACAGGAGGAATATTCAAAATAGTAAAAAACTCTGGGGACGATATTTTGAACATGTTTTTGCTATGCTTGAGTCTGTCCTGAATACTTTAACTGTTTCGTCAAAAACCCGTCTGCAGGAGGACATGCCCGACCTAACGCAAGGAGCAGGGTTTTGATCCATTGATGCTAGACGGGGAAGAGGTGATTTGATGGTTGATCCATTGATGGAAGACGTTTTGTCAAATTATCGCCATGTGGCTCACAGGTTTTAGGATTGCGAAGGCCTTACGGCCGGTGCCGCCGACCCTGAAGGGGGACGACACCGACGACGGCGGCGGCGGCGACGACGACGACGCTGACGTGGGCCAGAGTCCTCAGTTATGCTTCCGGGGGTCTCTGGGGAAAGCTATCGGGAGACTCTGGGGAGGAATTCTTGGGTCTCGTGGGAGCCCCTGGGGGGCCCCTTTGGGGCTTCCTGGGTGCCTCTTGTGGGCCTCTTGGGGCGTCTTGGGAACCTCTTGGGGCCTCCTGGGAGCTTCTCGGGGCCGAGGGCTCGAAATGTCCGTTCGGGTCCCTCGTCTGGGTACGCTCTTGGAACCGTTTTGGGGGCCTTTTGGGCCATCTTGGAGGCGTTTTGTGCTGTCTTGGGGTCCTCTTGGGCTGTTTTGGAGCGCTCTTGGAAGCCTCTTGGGCTGTCTTGGTGAGATGTTGAAGGCCTCTTGGGCCGTCCTGGAGCGGTGGGGAGCGGAAAAGGCGAGAACGCCCAAATCTTAGCAACAACCTATGCAAATCAGCACATGTTGCCTCTTGGGGCCCTCTCGGGAGTGCTCTTGGAGGCCTCTTGGGGCCTCGTGGAGGTCTCCTGGTCAGTCTAGAGAGCGTGAATGCGTTTAGGACCGATCGTTTAGCGATTGGGGGCCTTCTTGGACCGTCTTGGGGCACTCTTGGCCTGCCTTGGTAATGTTGGTGGCCCTGGGGTCCCCCCCCCCTCCCTGGGCGGGCAAGGGATCAAAAGGAAGGGGCTTCCCTTCGATTCTATTGCGACATTGCTAGGTTTTTCTCTCGCTGACAGGCTGGAGGAGGAGGGTGCAGGGAAAGGGGGCGACGGAGACGACGACTGACGGAGATGACGACTCGAAAAGAGACGCCCCTCGCACACGCCGACAGGGTCGGCGGATTTAGCCGACGCGGAGATCGTTTTTAGCGAGACGACTCCCAGTTTTCTTAGGACAGGCGCAGGTCAAGGGGTTTAGCCAGCTGCGACGTGTGGTTTGCAGAGATTCGCCGTCTGCCCGCCCACGACGTGGCTACCTTTCTATAGGCCTGCGTGGTCCTTGGTCCGTGTGCTCTGCTGTCAGCGTTGCTGTCTCAGAGCTCCGTCTCCCGCACCATCATTCTGCAGTGCGTGCGCACGGGATTGGGCACGCATCTGGGGTTCTGCGTGCTTGTGCTGCGCGGAGCGCCCTGATGAGAGGACGGTGCGGACTGGTGTCGGGTTTGAAGAGGGGCACGGGGGATCTCTCAGTCGCTCGCTCCCGCTGCAGGAGTTCCCGTGCGAGTTGGCTGCGACTCTTGTTGCCCGAGCTGGGGTTCTTCGGCCCAGGTGTTCGGCGGTAAGATGTCCCAGGCCCTGGCCCCGCCCTCCCGCCCTGTGCTCAGCCCCGCCGCAACCGCACCGAGGCTGCTCGCGAACCGACCGCCGGGCTGGCTCCGGTCCCCTCCACCGCTCTGCTTCTGGGCGGCGCTGCTCAGCCTCTCATCGAGCTTGGGCCCCGGGCGACAGCTGGATACCTTCTTCCGCTGATGCCCCTGGCTCGCGGACCCTCGTGGCCAGCGATGTACAGGTCGGCTTGTGCGGTGTTTCCAGCTTTCGTGGCGCTCCCCCCCCGTTTCCCGCGTCTTTTCCGTCCGGCGCGCCGTGGTGGTGTTCGACGGCCATTGCAGACGTGTGCAATGTGATCTAGTCGATGGCCGACGAACGGGCGCGCTGTGGTGGCTTTCGACGGCCATTGCAGATGTGTGTAAAGCAAGTCGATGGCCGACGAACGACGTCCCTTGTGCAAACGAGGCAAGTTGTACCGTTGGGGTTGAGGCCAACTCAGCTCATGCGTGCTATGCGATCCTAGTGCTGCGAGCGCTGCCCACAGTGCATGTGGAGTTTTTTTTGTTGTGAATCAGCCTCCAGGAGCACGGCTCCACTTCCGCGTATGTTGATCCAGGTGGCCTTCGCTTTACTTGTGGTCTGGAAGGCAAACTTTTGGTCTGGAGGCCCATGGCTTAGTCCTATAAGACCACCTGGGCGGTGATTGAGCGGTTCGGGTGGGGCCGGATCTGCACATGTTTGACCTGCCTCAGATCCACATCGTCTTCACATTGTCCCCCCCGGGTCATGGATGCGGAGCGTCGTTTGTCCAGTTCCAGCCGCGAGTGCGGGCAGTCGTCGTTTGTTCGCCCACCCGCGCAGTTTCGCCGCTCCCGCACAGAAGGGGGTGGAGGGAGGGGGGAGGGCTCCTTAGAAGCCCGCCTGCTTCTTCGAAGGCGCTGGCCTTATCTATAGATGCAAGGCCGGCGCCTTCTAGGCAGCAGCCTCCCTCTAAGCAGCCCTCCCCCCTCCTCCACCCCCGTTGTGCGCGCCGCAAGATAGCAGGGTACCAGAGCCTGGTGTGCCCTCGTGATGTGTGGTCGGGCAGGTCTTTCTACAGGGGGATGTTGGCCGAGAGATCTGAACTAGTCAACACTTGCACAAACAAAAATGGTGAGGAGGGACAGCCCAGAAATCGTCCCCGGTCCCTTTGCGCGCGCCGCCAGGCTCCGCCGCTCCCGCACGCACGCCAGCCAGCGTGGAGCCCTCGTCCCGTTTTTCACGCATCTTCGGCCGCGGGGCGCTGCGCCGGGGGGTGCTGCTGCTTCTGCCTTGGGCCTGCTGCTCGCGGGCCTGCGCGCCCAGCCCCAGAGAGTGCCTGGGCTCGCCTGGCGTACGTGTTCGATCTCGGACCCTTTGCTGACGCGAAACATGCTGCTTTCACACCAGTCTTTCGGCGGTCTTCAGAGGCCAAGATGCGTGGCGAGGGGTCCACGATCGAACACGTAACCTGGTGAGGAGGCCCTGGCCATGTAGTTGTAGCCCGGCCGTCTTGGCGGCAGCCGCCTCCCGGCGTTCCTAGGCCTCCTGGATGGGGTTGGAGTAGATGGGATCGGAGGAGAGCGCCTTATCGCCGATGCATTGGCGATGCATCGGCGATGCGGCTCGATGTGGGGCCCAATTTTCTCCACGCCGACGTCGCGGATGCATCGCCGACGTCGCCAGTGCATGGCCGATGCATCGCCGATACATCGCCGATGCATCGGCGATGCGGCGAGATCCTCCAGCCCTATTTATTTGGACCTCATCTAGGAGGCCTCTAGCGTTCGAGCTTGGGATGCAGGCTCGCCAGGACGAAGAGTAGTTAGAGTACGGCTTGAGCAGCTGATACCACAGGCTCGCCAGCACAATCACTCGGTCTTGCCAGGCCGTCGCAGTCTCAATGCTGCCTGCCTTCTTCTGTGCCTCTGCCTCGCCAGTGCGCGGAGTGTCCAGTTCGTGGTTCTGCCCAGATCCGGACCCGAGTTCGGAGGCCATGCCCTGCTCAAGCAGGAGAAAAACAAGGAGGTGCCCCCAAGAGGGGCCCAAGACGCCCCATTGTGCTCCAAGACGGCCTAAGAGAGTCCCGAGAAACCCAAGGGAGGCCCCTGAGGGTCCCAAAGTGTCCCAAGAGGGCCCCAAGAGGGCCACAAGAGGGCCCCGAGCGGGCCCCGACAGCCCAAGCGCCCCAAGACGGCCCAGGAGGGCCCCAGGACGGCCCAACAGGGCCCCAAGACGGCCCAAAAGAGGCCCACAAGGAGGCCCAGAAATGCAAGCATTGGTTTTCGCAGGGTGTTTTGCTAGATCATTGTATGTCGCACCAAACCCTTGAAAATACCAGCAGGGCTCCAAGACCCTAAGCAAGCGATCGCGCGGCCTCGCAAAGTACACGCGTGTTCCGTCCACGTGCCGACCCAGGTGACAGAAAGCGCGAGGTACGAGTGGTGACGTTGAGTTGGGGCAAAGCTTTCTCTAGGAAGAAGTCCAGGGGAGGTGGGAAGAGCGGGGACATCGGTCGAAAGGCCCTCCCTCCCCAAGAGGCCCCCAAGACGGCCTAAGAGGCGTTCAGGACGGCCCAAGATTCCTCCAGGTGCCCCCTAGAGGGGTCCCTGAGGGCTCCATGACGGCCAGTGAGCGCTCCAAAAGAGCCCAAGACCGCCTGAGAGCGTTCCAGGATGGCCTGAGATGGCCTCCAGCCAGACAGTCCAAGAGGGTTCCGTAACGCCCTAAGAGGCCTGCAAGAGGCTTCCCAAGATTAACCAGGGAGGCACAAGTCATTGGTTGTTCTACAATTTGTTTCTCGGATAGGACGGTAGAAAGAAGCGCACGAAGAGAACTTTAGACGATGACCACACTAAATATGTTTTGCCGCGGTCCACATCTTACGGCCCGCACAGTGATAGGTCGCGAACCCCGCAAACGCGTTCGCACGACTTCTCTTGACAGCAATTCATCATGTTACTCGTTCAGCGGGAAGTTTCGCCGGCCGCACATTCGTGCACACATACATCATTATTCACATTTCTACTTCCCTCCTTTCTCCATCATTGTATTCCCTCCGTCCTCCTTCTCTTCTGTAGATGCGAAGACTGTCAGGGTCACTTCGGGCATACCGCCGTTCCTTCTGACCATCTTCTCACCGTCTGACATGTTCACAACCTCCAGGATGTATTCCGTGACATGCGCATTTTGCCGTTGCAGAGTGTTCGTCACCCAGAATGTTCGAGCTCTCTCCGAGGAAGAAAATCAAGAACGGCCCAAAACCACCCAAGAGGCTCCAACGATCGTCACGGGATGGCTCAACAGGCCCCCAAAAGGGCTCCAGAAACCGTCCAAGAGGGCCCCCGGACGGCCCCAGAGGGCCCCGAGACGGCCTTAAGACAGCCCCACGCGACACACCTGGGGCGCTTCCGGGAGCGCCTGGGAAAGGGCCTTTAAGAGAGCCTTCGACCTCTCCGGGCTGCATGAAGCTTCGGGTACTCTATTTCGTGCCAGAGGCACGGTGGCGGATGACGGGAAGCGCCTCTGGTGTGGACCGTTGTTTTTTGTATGTATTTGTGTATATGCATATTTGTAAATATAGATACATACGTATATAATTCCAATTGTCTTTAACTAATGGCTCCGCGCCGCACTTGGAACCTCGCTGGCAGATGGCGGGAACCGCGCTCAGACTCGAAGGGTCGCGCGACGGACGTTGCTGCAGACCCGGAGGGGGGAATATTATCAACTGGGGGGATTCTGAGGGATGAAGGTCTCGGAGTTGCTCGGAGATTAAGACCAGGTGGGTGACGGGAAGCGACTTCTCGGAACGAGAAGGTGATGGGATTTTGTTAGGCTAGTAGGCTACGCGGAGTAAGGAAATACATGAACGAACTCGCGAGAAACCCTTGGTTCGATGTTGTATGTTGTTGGTCGCTCGGCGGATTCTCCCCCAAACGGCCGTTTTGTCCAAGACATCTTCGAACAAATGAGACGTTGAAATCGTATGTTTGAGACTCCTTTCGTTAACTATGATGCTTTCGCTCGAGACGTCCTCGAAACAACGAGGACGAGGAGGAGGAGGCGGAGGAGGAGGAGGAGGAGGAGGAAAAGGAAAAGGAGGAACAACAAGGAGGAGGAAGAGGAGGAGGAGGAGGAGGAGGAGGAGGAGTTGGAGGAGGAGGAGGAGAAGGAGGAGGAGAAAATGGAGGAGGAGGAGGAGGAGGAGGAGCACAACACGCTCCCAGCGCATCACGTAAACCATACACCACTCACACTAAACACAAAGCGTACGCACACCCTGCGCCCCTCCCGCCCTCTCGCCAGGCACACACCCCGTACGCGCACCGTACACCCCCCCGCCCGCCCGCCAGGCACACGCCCCGTACGCACACCGTGCACCCCCTCGCCCTGGCCCCCCTGGCACAGACCCTGTACACGCCCGCGCACACATGCGCACACACGCACACAGCCGCACACACAGGCACACACAGGCACACACACACACACGTGCACATGCACATGCACGTACTCGCACACAAGCACAGGCCACGCGCAACACCTGACCAAAGCAACCGCAGGCAACCACTAAACACGACCTACCAACGGCGACCATCTGGGCATTTAGGGGAGCCCAACGACTGCATCCGTGTGCACGCATGCGCGTTGGTTGCAAATCCGTGCGCGCGTGCGCACGCGAGCTCAGAGAAACGGCGCTTCCCGCTCTTGTCCGGGAAGGCTTCCAAGAATGGGCGTTTCGGCTCAGACATTCTCGCCAAACCGCCCATCGGTTCTTAAGACGTCTTATGCTCAGAATGAGCGCTTCGCTCGAGAAATCCTCGGAACATTGGGATGTTGAAATCGCTGTTTTAATTTTTGGACCTTCAAAAAGGTCTGTCTCGCTTGAGACGTCCTTGGACATTTGGGATGCGCCAAGAGCTCTTTTCAGTTACCCATTCGGAGCGTTTTCGCATGACCTCCAAGGTGGCCCATGGAACGGAATTATTCAATCGCTTCGCTCAATCCGCGGGCCCTGGAGCGCTATCTGGGGCCTCTTGGGGCCGTCTTGGGGGCCTCTTGGGGGCTTCTTGGGAGCGTCTTTGGGCTCCTTGGCGGCGTCTTGGGCTCCCCTGGGGCCTCTTAGGGGGCTATTGGGGGCCCCTTGGGGCGGGAGAGGGGGGGTAGTCGATTGCAGCCAACCCCGCGGAGGCCACGATCCTCGTGAGGGGTGGCGAAAAATAGCCTCCCCCCTGGGGATCGCCCGGGACCCGGCCGGGACACGGCCGGGACCCGGCCGGGGGTCAGCCGGGGTACTTTTCGTCCGGGGGCCCCCAGGGGCCGCCTCGCGCGCGCGAACTAGAAATATTGTTAAGTAGTTACCGGAGATCTTAGCACGCCGCTGGCCCGTTGGGCCGGCGAATTGGAATTATTGAAACAAATCCACTGGTTTTCAACACGTTCGCTCAACAAACAGCGTTTCGCTCGAGACATCCCCCTAAACATGCCTTCGAATGGACTCTCCAAACCATCAGATCAGAATGGACATGCCGATGCAGGGTAGGGTATGTAAGGTTAGGGCTTGTAGGGTTTGGCTTCGAAAATATGTGAGTAACTATTGAGTTGTTTTCCACGATATTGGGCCTTGACTGAGCTTGCGCGGGTCGTGAACACCACTTGGTATTTTTCGTGGACGTTAGGGGTGAGCGGCACGTCTGAGCTTGCGCGGGTAGTGAACTCCATGTGGTACCTTTGGTGGGAGTTCGGGGTGTGCGCCACGTCTGAACTTTCGCGGTTAGTTGTGAACTCCATTTGGTACCCTCTGTGAACGTTCGGGAAGAGCGCCTGCGCGACATGTGACCTTAATGTTGGTGCACGTTCTTGCCAAGATCTTCGATTTCACGCGCTTCCCGTTCATGTCAAGAAAGGTTTCTGAACAATGGCCGTTTCGCTCGAGACATCCTCGAACAATCGGCCCTTGCGGGGACTCCGAATCGACATAGTCTTAGAATCGCTCCCGGAGGGCTTTCGAAAGGCCCAAAGTAGGCCAAAAAGAGCTTCCGGAGGGCCCCGAGGCGCCCAACAGCGCCCCAAGAGGACCCCGAGAGACCCCCAAGAGCGCTCCAGGAGGCACCCAGATTGCTCAAAAGAACCCCAAGACGGACCAAGAGGGCCCCAAGAGACTCCCGGGAGCGCCCCTGGAGGCCCCCAAACTGCCCAAGGAGGCCCAAAGGCGGCCCAAGATGGCGCCGAGACGGCCCGAGAAAGTTGCAAAGGAATCCCACGACGCGCCCAGACAGCCCAAGAAGACCCCAGAAGCCTACTAGAGGACCACAAGAGGCCCCCAAGGAGCCCCAAACAGGCCCCACGGCATCCCTGCGCGGCGTCAGGCGCCCCCAGGGTAGCCCGATAGGGTCACCTGGACCCCCTCCTGATTCAACAGCCTTCTCCAATGGCTTCGTACTGTCCTCCGTCGTCGTCGTCGTCGTCGTCGTCGTCGTCGTCGTCGTCGTCGTCGTCGTCGTTCGTCGTCGTCATCGTCCTCCGATTTCCTCCTCGTACCTCGTATTCGCCCTCGTGCCCTTCGTCCTCGTCCTTGTGCTTCTGTTCCTCCTCGTTGTCCTCTTGCTCCTCGCTATCCTCACGTTCTCCACGTCGTCTTCGTCATCGCCTCCTCGTCGTCCTCGCCGTCCGTTTCTTCTTGTTCTTTTACTTCTTCGCCGAAGACGCCCATTGGACTCAAGCGGCGCTTCCCGTTCTTGTCCGATCAGGTTCCCGTGGCCGAAATCCAGCCTAATGTGCCATAATCCCGATGGCGCCTAGTTCGGCTTAGTACTCCGCTCAACCTGGCACAATCCGAGTCAGCGGACCCTTAACCGGTTTTCAATTACCCGTAATCGTTCCCACGAAGACCTCCCAGGAGTTGTTTTCTTTCTCCTCCCCCAGTCCATCCCCCTTCGTTTGCCCCTCCTCCTCCTCCTCCTCCTCCTCCTCCTCCTCCTCTCCTCATTGTGCTTCGTTAGATAAGCTCTGGCATCG